AATATATTAAAAATATTTAGATTGATATATAATTATTTAAATTAGAACATCAAATATTATACATTGCAATTGAAGATATGTTTTGGATTATTTATGTGTTTTGATGTTATCATTGTTTGAATTTGAATAAATAATTACTGAAATTAATAGTTAATGTGTAGATGTACGCATGCAATGCTGTAATTTTGAATATTTTATTTATCATTGTTAGTATTTTTTTTTATAAATTAAGCAAATATGTTCGTTCTCTAGCAACTCAGTTATAGGAATGAATTGCCATCTTAATTCATTTGTATGAAATATATATATATATATATATATATATATATATATAGCAATTTTGTCATTTAAAAAAACATAATATCAACGATTGTATTTACACATTATTGAAACCTGTTTGTAGATGACATTGGTTGTAGCAACGCAATCCTGTCCATCATCGTATAGAGCTAACACCTTCAGTCCATCTGGATAGGTGACTCGGGTGAAAATATATAATGGTAGAGTATTAGTCAATTAGCGATCCTTTTATATTTTAAGTCAATTAGTAGTATCAAATTCATTTTCGGCAAATTATTCTTTTATATTTGTAGTCAATTAGTCAATTAGAATATCATATGCAATGATATTTTTACCTAATTTTCGTTAAATTTTTAATTGATGATGTATAATATTATTATTGAAATATTTACGTTCCATTTTTTATTTATCTTTAATATTGTTTAAAATATGCATTTACTCTTTATGATGTAGAAATATTATTGAAATATTTCCGTCAAATTTTAGGTTCCGTTCCATTTTTAATTAAAATGTAATGATCAAAACATTTTATTTTTTTCATATTAATCAATTATGGATCATTTTTTATTTATAGTCAACTATTAATATTCATTTCTTTTTATATTTTCAGTCAATTTGTAATGCCATATTCATTTTCAGCCAATTATTCTTTTTATTTTATTTTATTTTCATTCAATTAGTCAATTAGAATATCAGATGCAGTGATATTTTTACCTAATTTTTGTTCCATTTTTAATTGATGATGTAGAATATTATTATTGAAATATTCCGGTTTCATTTTTAATTTTTGTTTCATTTTTAATTTACCTTTACTATTGTTTAAAATATGCATTTACTATTGATGATGTAGAATATTATTATGTAAATATTTCCTTTTATTTTTAATTTACTTTTACTTGATGATGTAGAATATTATTATTAAAATATTTTCATTCTTTTTTTAATTTCCATTTCATTGTTTAAAATTGTGAAAGATTTATGACATAATTGTGATTTGATGTATTATACTGTATAATATTATTGTGAAAAATTTAAATGCAATGATCTGACCATTTCTTTTTTCATTTTAGTCAATTATGGATCATTTTTATTTGCAGTCAATTATTAATATTCATTTCCTTTTCCAATTAACATAACTTCAATTCCTTTTTTTCATTTTTAATTTTCAATAAATTATTAATATTCATTTCTTTTTCCAATTTACCTAATTTCCATTCCATTTTTAATTGATGATGTAGAATATTATTGTGAAATATTTATGTTCTTTTTTTTTTTCATTCTTTTTTTTTTTTTAATTTACCTTTACTATTTACTATTGTTTGGACAGGAAATCAAGTAAATAGTATTTTGTTTTTAATTATAGTATAGATTTGACCGTGAGGTTGTAACATATATATGAGATAAGAAAGAAATAATCAGTTAAATGATGCCTTTATTTGGATGCACTAAGACTATTACAATGCTCCATCACTTTGCAAACATGTACAACTTTGGCTTTATTTTATACTTTAAATTATACTTTGCTTATCCTTTAGATTTTAATGTATTATTTTAAGCTAATTTATTTATTAACATTAAAAAAAATACATTTTAAAGTGTGACAATTTATAATAATAAATCATTTTAAAAAGTGGCAAAAGATGATTTTCTAATTTGATGCCATTGCATCAATTTAAAAAAAAAAAAATTATTGCTATTGTTTACCTCAATCATCTCATAAATATCCATAATTTTTATTAGAGGGATCTAATCAACACATAAACTGAAAAAAAAAATGACAATCATAAACAAAATATGTACAAAAATAAATGATAAAAACATTATGATAATGATTAAGACATAATAAATTTACCTTTTCAAAAAATCACAAAACTCGAGAAATCCTGATTGAAAAGGAGCTGTGTATCAAGAGTTACATATCTTGAAATGGCTAATCAAAAAGAACATTCATTACTTGTCCTTATTCAAACACTTTCAAATATAAAGAAAAATTAAAATACTTGTGTTTAGATTAACTCTTCGTATCATTTTAACTCTACACAATTGCATAAGAACAACCATAGGATTTGCAAGGCTAGAATTAAAAAAAAAAAAAAAAAAAAAGTTTCAACTCTTGGCCTTGGTATATGTTGATCCCACACTGTAGCTTTCAATTGATTGTCACTATAAACAAATAAACTACGGAGTTCTTAATAAAAAATACATATAAAAAATACAATAAAAATAAAAAAAAATAGATAATTTACTTTGTATCCATGTACAATTAGAAAATCAATAAGTTAAGAAAGCTTCCCTGCAATGATCTTATCCAATGGGGAGTATATCTCAATTCCAACGACCCTACCAATAACGTCAAACATGTTAATAATAATAATAATAAAAAAAAAAGAATTCAGATGTAGATTAAAATTGTAAATGAAACTTACCAACGAATTGTTTATCATCTACAGACTTAAAAGATGAAAATGATTTCAATACATAAATTTGTCTAGAAAAGTTGTCTTTTTTTTTATATTCTTTAACCAAAGTACCATAGTGGAATTACAACATAAAATAATGAGTGCATTTTTTGAAAATATAGAAATTATTTATCACCATAAAATTTTTAATGGCATAAACTTTTCATTGTTTGAAAAGCTTACAGTACTTACCAACATGCTCTCTTGGTATATGAGCATGAAGTTTCCTACAATGAAATAAAAAGGAAAAGTGTTATTTTCCAATTTATTTTTGCAGTATAGGAAGCAGCTTTGTAATGCATCTTTTTCCCAATTTCATATACAACACGAGTTATAGAAAAAAGCAAAATTGAAAAAAATACCATTTGATCGGGAAATATGCACTCTGTAGATTTTATGGAATCACTCCCTTTCTCTATGGGACTTCATATAGGTGCACACCAATCACCATCTAATAGCTTTGAAAGTCTTCAATGGAGAAATATCCCAGGCAAGAATAAACATTGGAGTCGTATAAAAAAAAAATTGAAAAAAAAATACCTCTTGATCGTGAAGCATGCACTCTCTAGATTTTATGGATTCACTCCCCTTTCTCTATGGGACTTCATATAGGTGCGCACCAATTGCAGTCTAATAGCTCTGCAAGTCTTCAATGGAGAAATATCCTGGGCAAGAATAAACATTGGAGCCGTAATAGTTGTATGTTAGTATACATATCTATATCTCTATATATACTTACTCAATATAAAAGAATGAATAAATAAATATAAGGAAAAAATATTATCAATTAATAGATTTACCAATTAGGTTAATATGTGAATATGGAAACAATATTATCAATTAATAGATTTTAATTAATTTTTATTTAAATTTAGTTACCAAATAAGTTTTACTACAAAAGTTTGGGCGGGAAAATGAAATAGGAGGATTTTACTTTTATATATATATAGATTTGGAAATATAAAAGGGAGGGGGAAACCTAGACAAACAAAACAACTTACTCTATCTCAAGCATGAGACGTTCACTCACCACCCCTATCTCATAATTACAAACAAGAGTATCACATTTGGGGGAAACAAAAATAATACTAGGCTCCCTCCTATTGGCAGCGAGCGTAGCAAAAAAGTCAGCAACAGTATTTTATTCTCCGAATACATGCACTATCGTAGTGCTACCACTTATGCAAAGTAAGTTTCTGCACCGGATCTCCAAGGCTCCATGTTGATGATATCTCCTGTTAGCGTCGTTGAGGACTGTAACAATTTCTTTACAGTCAATCTGAACCTCAATGTTGATGGTTCCTTTGGTCTCAGTGTGAACCTCAATGTTGATGCACCTAATTTGAAAATGTTAATAGTCAAGGACCAAATGTAATACAAATTGAATAGTCATGCACCAAAATTAAAATTTTTAATAGTCAATGACTAAAACTGATACATGTATTATAGTCGAGGGACTAAAAATGATATTTTCTCCCACAAAAAATTTATATTCCATTTTTTTAAACGAAATAGTCAAGCAATCCGTTTTTTAAAAAAAATAATTGCAAATCGCGTGACAAAACGTAAGTAATAATTTTATGCGTAACAACATTTTTGACTCTTGAATTGTTTCAATTTTGATTATGATTGTTTTTTTTTTCCCCAATCTTCTGTCCAATATGGCAATACGTTGTATAGTTGTACACACTAAACACAATCGTTATGCTGTGCATCCGTGTGCACCATGCATGGTGCATACAGATGCAAAAACGATGTCGTTTTGATTAAAAATGCGTGTCCCACTTAAAAAAAAATTTCAGTTTCGATTCCCCTCAACAACATTATGTTGTTCATTAATTCTGGATTTTTAGTTTATTGATTCTGGATTTTTAGTTCATTAATTTTGGATTTTTAGTTCATTGATTCTGGTTTTTTAGTTCATTGATTCTAGATTTTTAGTTCATTGATTCTGGATATTTAGACGGAAATCGAAATTGATTTTTTTTTTTTTCATTCATGCTGGGATATTTAGTTCATTCATTATAGATGTTTAATTCATTTATTCTGAATTTTTAGTTCATTCATTATGGATTTTTAGTTCATTGATTCTAAATTTTTAATTCATTGATACTGAATATATAGTTCAAATTGTGTACAACAAAATGTTGTTGCCGAAAATTAAAACTGATTTTTTTTAAATAAACGTGCGTTTTTAATCAAAACGACATTATTTTTGTATCCGTATGCACAACATAATTTGCACACTAAACACTTTTTGCAAAATAGAAATCACATTAATCCCATTCTCTACCGAGGCCCCAACAAACCATCTTTTATAAGTGTTGATATAGAAAATTGTTGATGTCTGTACGCGAAAAACGAGGATACAGGTGTCGGCTTATTTTGTCATGGCGGGTGTAAGCGTGGTCCCAACAATGGCGAGTGAACCGGTGAGTATGATCGAGCACAACTCCGAAGAACCATTGATCAAACAAGTGAAGCCAGAGAAAAATCTAGAGCAAGAAGAAGGGATAGACGATCAGCTGACCCTGTCCCAGTACTTCATGAACAAATCAAGCTCCTCTGTTTCTCCCTCTATGGTCAGTGTGTTTCTTAGATTATTCTTCTTTTTTTATTCTTACACTGCAGCTCTCTGGAGATACATTTTCCAGTTCAAGTTATATTCACAAGTTGCCACCTTTATTTGTTCTGAATTTCTAATGTGTATATTAAAATGGAACTGGGATTTCTTCCCAGTACCCTAGGTCTTGTTGGAAAAAAGGGGAAATCTCTTCTTTTTCTTATGTGATTACCTGCCAAGGCTAAGAACTAGTAAATAAGAATTTTACTCGCAAGTGATGGTGATTAAGAAACGGTTTTCATTTCTTTGTGCAGGGAACTCCTCTTGTCGGTGAAGCCTCAGCCACCACCAATAGGTTAGTGAATACTTGAACTAATAACTGTGAGAATTTAGAGATTTCTTTACTATTTCATCCTAACTTTTGTTATATGTAACACAGGAAACGAGCAAGGGTAATGATAAAAGACAGATGTAAGAAATCTGCAACTCATTCTTCACCTACCATGCAGAAAGCAAAGGCCTTTCAAGCCAGTCTTGATCCAACCCAACCAAGCTTTATTAAATTACTGAGCCGTTCCCATGTTACACATGGATTTTGGTTGGTAAGTGCATTATTATTATTATTATTATTATTATTATTATTATTATTATTATTATTATTATTATTTAAAAAAAAACATAGATTTATCAGAATTCAACCTCAAAATTGCCTCTGCTACAGGGCCTTCCAGCGGATTTCTGTAGAATGTACTTACCCCCTCATGATCATACAATACCATTGGAGGGTGACAATGAGAAGCAGTATGAGGCCAAATTCATAGCAGAAAGACAAGGACTTAGTGGTGGATGGAGAGGATTCTCCCTTGCCCATAACTTGCAAGAAGGTGATGCAGCTGTCTTTCACTTAGTACAGCAATATAAATTCAAGGTAACTATATATTTCAACACTAGTTTAAGAATATCTGTTTGTTTTCCAGTCTATCCTTCATAAAATATAGCACTGTTTTGTTAGAGAGTTGATTAAGTTAGAAATATTCTCGGTGGTCTTTGTAAAGTAAAATGTAAACTTCAGTGGGTCACATGAAATGGGCTCCCAAACTTTTATTTGCACTTTAAAATATCTAATTCATCTGTTTGTGGACAAACATAATGACAATGAAAACATCACATTAGTGCCATTTTCATTCTGCTGTGTTACTTATAATGTTCTCATATCATATCTTTGGTCTGGCAACTGAATGCTTTGTGCCCTGTGTTTTGTTTTTGGTCTATCCATATGAAGACAATAATTTTTCCTTCAAGTAATTTATGAGACTTGAATGGCTCGTTTTACTTTGTGACCAATTTTGAAAGTGAAGATAGCTTTTGATTGTCATGTCTGACTCATTGCATCTTCTGTAATTATCTGGTACGAATTTGCCGATCTCCTTTTTTAAAAAAATAAATAAATAAATAAAAATGACTTAAACTGTGGTTGAGGAAAGATTAACTAGTAGTACATTTGTAGTAGCCTTAATGCCTTATTAGTTCATTCCTAATCTTTTCGCTTTCTTGAACCTCATGTTTTATTATCAAACTGATGCCAATCACAATTCATGCCTTCCATCAGTGGGGTGGGGTTTGTTGGAAGATTTCTAGTTCTTGTAATGTAGAAAAATCTCTCAACTTTATCAACTTACAGCGTAAGCATTTCCCCAGGTTTACACAGTGAGAGCAGTGCATGAAAGATCATATCTTGAAGAAAATTGTCAAAATGATGGCCAGCCAGAAACGAATTATGAGTTAGGGGATGAAGGATTCATTTTTGAGAATGATAAGGAGGATTCCCCTGCAGAAACTAAGGATGGCAGTTCCACCGGATCTTTTGTGGACTTGAAAAAGTTCAGCATTGTTGTAAATGAGTGCCCAATGGACTCGAAATTCTCCATCTCAGCACGTCAGAAATACTATGAGCTGTGTTGTGCTCAGAAATCATATCTACATGATGGATTTGCTGAGAACATTAACTATACGTTGGCTGTTGGGATCATCTTGGAAACAGTTAGCATAGCTGACAATATCAAAGCTTGTACCCTTTCCACACCGTTGACTGATTTCAAGAGTTGGGACAACACATTATCTGGCTTTATGCATTTGGGTATGGACGTTGGTTTTCTGCAAGAGCGATTAAGCAAACTTTCAACTCGTGCAATTGAATTTCAAGGTTCCCATGAAGCAAGTAGGCATTGTGAAATCATAACTGAAGAAAATAATTTGAACAAAGAAATTGAATCTGTTGAGAGGAAGCTTATGGAACTAAAAGAAGCCTTGATGGATGTTCAAGTTGAAAAAGAAGCTCTTGAGACACAATTCCTGATATACGACATGGTTTTCTGCGGGATGGCTAAAAGTCCTTGGTGATCTCACAAGTCTTCCCTCTAATCTGTTTGAGGCATATATACTTGACCTTTATATTATATGACTTAGTTGTGTACATAATGTATTGGGCATCCTCTGATCCATTTCTAGTCTAGAAGAAAAAGAATGTAAGATTCAGGCAGGAAGCTTCTGTTTCAGTGTTTGTTTTAGCTATGTAGTGATTAGCCAAGTTAGTAGAAGGCTTAGATGTTCATTACTTCATTTCCTGGTCCAAATCTGGATGGAACTTTGGTACTGTATGAATTTTGTGCTAATGGTTAATCTATAATTACAATTATGTATATTGAGTGATATTTTGAAAGTGAACATAGCTTTTGATTTTCATGACTGACTCATTGCACAACCAGAGAGTTATCTGTTTGCTTGCAGAGTAAGAAGAAGATGACAATGGAGAGCAAGAAAAAGCTGGTTTGCAAGAAGCCTGAAAGTGTCAAATCTAAGGCTAAACAAGTTAGACTAATATTCTTTCTTTTTCTTGTTCTTTTGTATTTTTTGCTTAAGGATCTATGGGTACTGATGTTTTCGTGCTTATGCTTTTGATGTCAGTGCATATCTATGATCTTTAGCTCTCTGTTTCATAAATTTGCTTAAGTTCTACAATGTGAATTTTTGTTGGATTTTGCATAAAATTCATTAGAACTTCAACTTTGCTTTTAATTTAAGAAAAATTGCATTTTTGGTCTTTTAGTGGTCCAGACTTAGTTCCTAAGTTATATGTGTGACCATTGATCTTTAATCTCTAAGTTATGCGTGAAGTGACGATTTTAGTCTCTAGGAGACTATTTCTGCCTAATTTGGTCATTCAAGGACTAAAATTGTCAGTTTATGCATAACTTAGAGGTTAAAGATGTTCAAACATATAACTCAGGAACTAATTAAGTCTGTACCACAGGTATAATTATAGGACAAAAAAATGTAATTTTCCTTTAATTTTATGTTGCAGATTATGATACTCAGTTATTACTTATTAGTGCAAAATTATCTCTGCTAATGAGTGTACAATTTTATGACAAGTGGGTGCTCAGAGCCCTAATTGTGCTGTGTTATCAATTGTGATATTCTTTTTAATCTCTCCATTGTTCATTTAATTGGATTTTGGATTAAAAGTCCATTTAATTACAGAGTAAATTTTTAAAATGACAAGAAACTATTTGCATGGTTAGCAGGTAAAATAAGATAATCTTAGAATGTCAGAGAGGTTTGCACTTTATTCTGTAGATTTTCACGTCTCCTTTACTTAATGTGATTCCCATTTTGAATAGTTTTCTTATTCCCTTCCCTATTTAATGTACAGTTCTAAGCGTAAAAGGGTGACTACATGTAATGTCACCTATGATGATGTTGAAGCTAAGTTCTCTGTTTTGGAGCGAGCAGAAAGGGTGTTGTCATGTCTAGAAGATGAATACCCTATCTTCATGAAGTGTATGCTCCCATCAAATGTTGTTCATGGGTTTTGGCTGGTAATATTCAAATTTTTATCCCATCATGTCTATATTAATAACTTGTCAGTAGGGATGTCAATCGAGCCAACTCGTTTGCTTTCAAACTAGTCCTATCGGGCTTATTGGTTCAGGCTAGTCCATTCAGACCATTGAACTTATCGGTTTCGGGCTTATTGAGCTGATATTTTATCAACCTTAATTTTAAATTTTGTCTTGTTAGACCTGCCCAATCTACCATTGACATCCCTACTTGTATTTTTAGCTGTATTTATTTCTTCTCTCCCTCCCCTTTCTAATTGCAGCATATTCCAAAGGTTTGCTGTGACTTATATTTACCAAGTCAGGACTCTGCGATTGTGTTGGTAGATGAATGGGGAATGAATACAAAACTAATTATCTTTTGGAGAGGCATGGATTGAGTGCTGGATGGAGAGCATTCTCAATCGCTCACCGATTACTTAAATTAAAAGAGATCTTTTAATTTTTTGTTTGACTGAACCTTACAAATTAAAGGTAACTTATCTTTTTGAATTTTTTTTTAGTTCAAATGTGAAGCCCATTTCAGGCACATAATATGCACATTGTGCATGAAATTAAAGATGCCACGTACTGAGTGCAAAATTGTGATAAGTTGGAAACATGTTTACTTTGATTTTTGAATACCAATTTCACTAGGACTGTTCTGTAGTCATCTTCTATTATTGTGTTTAAATGGAATATATAGTTGTTAATTCTTAGAGAAAATAATATATAGGGAAAATGGTCAAATAGGCCCTCGAACTTTAGCTTAAAAGTTAATTAGGTCCCTAAACTTTTTAAAGGTTCAATTACACCCATCAACAATTCATTTAGGTGCAATGAAGTCCAAAAATAAGTTAATGACCTGCTACCACAGGTCATTAGGGTACAGGCCACCTTCCGGCGAATTTTCTGACATAAAAAAGGTGACCAGCAACCGATCCAAATTTGTCGAAAATTTCGCCGATCACTTCTTTTGTTGAAAATTTCGCCGGTCACTTTTTTTTTTTGCTGGATTCGTCGGAAGGCAGCCTGAACCCTAATGACCTGTGATAGCAGGTCATTAATTTGTTTTTGGGCTTCATTGCACTTAAATGAATTGTTGATGTGTGTAATTGTACATTTAAAAAGTTTAGGGGCCTAATTGACTTTTAAGCTAAAGTTCGAGGGCCTATTTGATCCCTTTCCCTAATATATATTATTGGTTATTAATTAGGATCACTTTTTTTAGGTTAACATTGTAAGGGTAAATGGTCGAGATGTTGTAAATGCAGCTATTTTCCTTATGAATTTAAATGATTATGAGAAAACCTCAAATCCTGGTTAGTCATTTAATATTACTTCTTCGTTTTATTTATTTATTTATTTATTTCTTTCTTTCTTTTGTATGTTCTCATGATTTGATTGTTGATCTCTGTAATATTATTGATCTTGCATGAAAAGATAATCACAAGCGCAGAAGTTCAATAAAATTTGTCAAGCCATATCCAGGAGTTTTTCAAAATGAAGGCCAGCATTAGAATGGATTCTTGTCATGTTGTGGATCAATACAAACATCATACTAAGGGACAATTGGTTCACATAATATGAGATTAACTTAGGCAATACACCTCATGAAAAAGTAATATAATGCGAGATTTTGAAATGTATCATTACTTTAGGTAATAGAATTACCTCATGAAATGTAACATTACTTAAGGTAATAAAATTACCTCATGAAATGTAACGCGAGAATTTGAAATGTAAGATTATCTTGTATGTTTGGTTTAGATTGTGAATATGTAATATTATCTTGTTTGGTTAATAGTTATATAGATCAATTTTACTATAATGGCATCTCTGTTACTATTCCAAATGGGTGGTCAGAGGAATCTCAGCCTTAAATCAACTCATATTTAAAAACAAAAAAAATTCACCATTTACGATCTACAACAATGTCCACCGAAAGGTTCGTACAACAATGTGCTCTGGAAGGCATAACAATATGCATTGGAAGGTAAAAATGTACACGGTAAGGCACAAAAATATGCAACAATTATTGAAATGACTAAATTTAATACATGATCTTCAACACAATTCATAAACGATCACAATATTCAACTAAAATTAGTAATTAGTTATTCATCCAAAATCAAATGAGCAACCTGCATGGTGGGTCGCGGGTTAGGTCAAATCTGGCCACTCCAACCCAGGAGACGGGTTCTAAGGCAGAACGATGATCCGTCCCAGGTCCCCTCTCTCGAGCCCAACCACTCGACTTGAGTAGCCTCATTTAGGTCATTTGTCTTAGGCCCTTGGGCCCTTTTTGCTAGGCATGGGTCTTGGGCCCCAGCCTCTGGGCTCCTGGACCGCGGGTCCCTATTCTTGAACGCTTTCCAATAGCTCCATCATCAGTCCCCACTATCTGAGTTGTGCGAAGTCGACAATTCGAGAGAGTAAACGTGCGTGGACCGATCGAAAAATTAATTTTGACACTTGCAACGTATGTTTTGCTTTTATTCATATTTAATGGACCACACAAAAAATTTGTATTTGCAAGAATAAAAATCTTTAGAAAAACTTCACCGTACATGTTAGTTTTTGAATTTGAAAAAATCATATAAAAATTTCTATTGGTGATGCTCAAATTAACATTACTCTCTAAGAAGCCAACATTAGTGTCCTTTTCAATTTGATGTTACTCATAACGTAATCAATCCTTTTCAAAAGATATATGAAATGTTGGAAAATAAAACTTTAATTATATATCTTTATTTTATTGCAATTATTATATTATGGACCAAGATCAATAATGTGTATAATGGACTATTTTATATATATTATGTACATCCAGTTAATAAATTATATATCTATTGTAATTTTTATTAATGTTTGTCGACATAAATATTTAGCATTAATGTATTAAATTTGTAATTATATAATTCTTTAAAAAATTAAATTTGAAAAAATGAACTGTTTGGAGGAATTAAAAAAATGAATTAATCAGGAAATCCATTTTTTTTTGGCAAATCGCGTGACAAAAAGTAATTAATAATATTGTAGAAAATAATAGTTTTCATCCGTGAATTGTTTCAATTTTGATTATAATTATTATTTAGTTTTCTAGTTTTTTTTTTTTTTTTTTAAAAAATAAAAATTATCTCCATTCTCCAGTCCAACACATTGTACAGTTGTAGTGTACTACACAGTACACACTATATGCAAAAATAGAAAATCACATTAATCCCATTCTGGACCGAGTCCCCACCAAACATCTTTGATGATCTGATATAGAAAATTTTTATGTCTGTACGCGAAAAGCGAGGATACAGGTGTCGGCTTATTTTGTCATGGCGAGTTTAGGCGTGGTCCCAACAATGGTGAGTGAATCCGTGAGTATGATCGACCAGAATTCCAAACAACCATTGATCAAAGAAGTGAAGCGGGAGAAAAATCTAGATGAAGAAGAAGAAGGAATAGACCAGTGCTTCATGAACAAATCAAGCTCCTCTATTTCTCCTTCTATGGTCAGTGTTCTTCTTTTTAGTTCCCTGGAGATACATTTCCCATTTCAAGTTATATTCACAAAGTTGCCACCTTTATTTGTTCTGAATTTTTAATGTGTATATTCAAATGGAACTGGATTTCTTCCCAGTACCCTAGGTGTTGTTGGAAAAAAAAGGGGGAAATCTCTTGTTTTTTTTTTTTTTTTTTTTGGTATCTGATTACATGCCAAGCCCAAGAACTAGTAAATAAGAATTTGACTAGCAAGGGATGGTGATTAAGAAGCGGTTTTCATTTCATTTCTTTTTGCAGGGAACTCCTCTGAACGGTGAAGCCTC